ACATAGGACATAAAAGTTTTACAGGAACAAAGTTTGCGTCAACTAAGGTTAAGTTTATGTTTGCTAAAGTGTTTGAGTTCACTAAAGCTGAAAACTCTGCATTCGAATGAACAATAGGCAAACCAGCAGAGAAAGTGTTGTTTATACGCATGAGTATCTTTTGGTCATAGTAGTTTCTGTCGACATTCGAATAGCACTTTGAACCTAAGTTTGAAACAATATATAAAATAGGTGTACTTAAAGTCAATGGAACAGACAAACCTTGTATGACACCTTTTCCTGTTATAGGAAACTGTTGGTAGTAAAAACCAGATATAAGTTTTGTATTATAGCTCATATCGTTTATAGTAAACTCAGTCGGACATCCAAACATAATGAAACCTGCTCTAGTTGCAGCACATGTTACATCCGTCCTTAAAGTATTAAATAAGTCAACAAAACCTGTTGGTGGTATATCTGAGTAAGTATCTTCAAAGAAGTATTTTTTACCATTCACAACAACAAAGTCTTCTGGTGTCAAAAGAGCAAAACAGGCTTTAGTCGTCATCGTGTTTAAGGTCAGTTTACAATATCGTCCTTGAGGACTTTGTAAGTTTGTTGTTATAGAATTATATGACTCAGGGTTTTTAGTCGTAATAGTATAAACCACTATGTCTTCTGCCATTTACTTAGCAAGTAAATTTTAATGAAATGTTGTGGTCGTCAAATATTTTTATGACGTCTGGGAAACTATATTTTAAGTTCAACGTTTCACCTCCTTTCATAACGTATATCTTGTCAATGACATTATATGAAACACCACAGCAAGCAATGTCGGGTTCTATTTCTTTGATGTTTATATCGTCTGCCTCTGTCAAAAGTTTCAATAGTTCTTTCAAAATTTCATGAGGTGCGATGACATATGAGTTCACTTTTACAGGGTTGTGTTCGACCAAGTTTAACATTATACCCAAAGCTTGACAAATCTTCTCCTGAGTTTTAAGTTTGTCTTTAAGTTGTTGGTAGTCGTTTCGAATATCTGCAACAGAACTTAAGTCTCTGCTAACTTCAGGGTATGTTGGTTGTTCTTTTACAGGAACTATTGTTATACCATCTTCGTCTTCGTATGGTTTCCCCACTTCAACATCTCTTTCTTTGACATTGACAACAACACTTTGACTGTTTGTTTGAGTTGGTGAATTTAACTTCACATCTGCCACCGCCATTAAACCTTTTGAAACACTTACGCTTCTATTTTTCGGAAATGACATTTTACTTAGAATAAAAAGATGGACGTATTTCGAGTATCTCTTCGAATTGAAGCAGAACAAAGTTTACACACACAAACAATACAAATACATTGACAGAATAGTTCTTTACACAAACAATGGAAAATGTTATAGAATAGCAGTCTTTGCTGAACCAAAATATTTTCATAAAGCAAAGAAAGTTGGTATAACCGAGATGGTGAAAGTTCTTGAAGCAGACAAAAATATAACAACAAAACTGACCGATATTTCTAAAGGTAAGTTTATAATACAATATTATGTCAAAACTGGCGTACTGTCAATATTTGACGGAGAGAAGTCAGTTCAAGAACAACTTACTGACCTGCTGCCAAAATCTGCTCGATGGAAGCTGTCGTTATGCCAATCTGAGGAGCCCCAGCAGGTTTCATCGAACGAATCTTCAAAAGAGCATCTTCCGTGAAAAGTGCTATTGGTTTTGTAAACTTCTTTGCTTTCAATTCATCTGGACCGTCTCTGTCACCAGTATATTGTATTTGAACTGTACCAACAGTTGAAATACCACCCATAAAGTCTTCTGAGTCAGCAAATGGAATGCCAAGCCAAAAGTTTGAACGGTCTCCATTTGTATATTGAGTTTTTTGACCTCCTGTATGAGTCCATACTTTCACATATGGCATAATAGAACTTTGCATTTCAGGGTTAATGGTTGTTGTGAAGTTGTTGTTAAAGTTCATAGCATCTAATGTCAAGTTGTATGACCTCATATCCTCAACTGTAGAATATTCTTCTCTTGGATATATTTGCCATCTATGTTTATATGATATTTAATACCAGGGTTGTAGAACAAGAATAGTCATTTATAGTTCGTCTGAACAGTACAAACATAGTATCTGCATGTTTCATTGCAGTTGTTAAAGCAATATCTGTTCTTGCACCTGGGTCAGCACTTTGGTTTCCAACTTCACCTGCAAAGTCTTTGACAGATATTTGGTGTATAGGGAACATAAGTGGAACTGCAATATATTTGGCAGCTAAAGCATTTGAAATATCTGGGTCCAACATATAGACTGCAAGTCTGCTTTCTATTCTCTTGCATTCAAATTTTTCGCATGTGAACTTAACTGGGTCCCAAGCAGTTCCAGCAGCATTGAAATAATAGTTTACTTCAGTGTTGAGGTTTGAGAAACCAAAGTCTAAGTCAACTTTGTCTTTGCAAAAGTCGGCGAATGACGTTTGATTTGCTCCCTTTACGTCTGTAAGAGTGAATGGGTCTTGTGTTGGTGCAATGACTAAGTTATTTTTGCTTGGAGTAAGTTCGATAGAAATTTTTCCTGCCCAGTTTGGCAAGTATCTTAAAAACCTGAAGATGAGGAAAGATGACAAAGGAACTCTAAGTTTCAGTTTTACTTTGGTTACTGCTGCTGCAGTTTGTCCAGAAAGGTTAACATAAACTCCTGGAACGTTAGGGTCAAGTCTTCTTATTTTCTCAATAGTTGCATACTGGTCTGTTTGTTCTCTAGCTTGTGGTTGTACTGAGTTTCTCAAAGCGAACCATTCATAGTTTGCCCATGTTACTGTTTGAACTAAGTCAGAGTTAGAATATATCTTATATCCCATGAAAACTTCTGGAGCATATTGGTATCCGACATAGAAAATTCCATTGCAACCTTTCTTGTCAGACAACTTGGCAGAAGGTTTTATTTCAATGTCTTGTTCCACGTATAAGAAAGAGTTGTCAATAGAAATTATATGAAACCTGTCGCAAGCAATATCTACTGTTGTTGAAGAACCTTCTCCAAACTCACCTACGTTTCCATAAGAAACAGCAGTTGTATATTCGTAAGTTCCAGGAACTATTTCTGACCTTCTAATGGCATTGTCGCATTCGTTATACCATTCGGAAACATTTCCATTCATAGCATCCAAAACTGTTGGCGTTATATTCTGAGCGGCGTACATTTCATATGAGTAAAAATATAGAATAGTTGGATTTATATGTCATAATAGAACCCACGTGGACCAAGCTTTACTTTCTTCCTGACTGAGTTTTTAACTCTTCTTTTTCCTTCATTGCCCTCTGCTTGAAGTTGTTGCATCTTTGCATTATGTTCATCTAGTATGTTGCAAATTTCCCATGTCCTTTTTGCCTTTTGGCTCTGGTCGCCCATCTCAGGTAACCTATATCCTAGAAAGAGTTTGTCATAGTCTGTATTTGAGTCTTCGCGTATTGTTTGCATGACTCTTTCCTGAGTTTCGGTTCAAGCTCTTCAAACAGTGCCTGTCCATATGGAATATGCTCGTTTCCAAATATATGTTTTTGTAGCCATTCTGGTTTTCTTTCCATGTTACCAACAATATCTTTTGTGAATGGGAAAGCTTTTACCCAATCTTTCAGTCTTGCGTCGTTTATTTCTGTAGTTGGTTTTATTTTGTCAAGGAACATGTTTTTCAATACTAACATTTCATTTGGTACTGTCCATTTGAGTTTTCTTAAATATTCATCCCTTCTCAGTTCATTGTCTGCAAAGTAAGTTTTTATGACATTTTGTAAACTTTCGTTTGCAAGGTCATGTACAATAGGTTCTCTTCCTTCGCTCTCCCTAACTTTCTTTCTAAACTCTTCACCAAATATACCATCTCTATGGTTCTGTGTAGTTCTTTGAGATAAATGTTCTAGAACGTCAGGTGTTATATTTCCATCAGCCATGTTCATTTCATACTGGTCAAAATATCTGCATCTTTCATATCTTTCAATGGCATTAAAGCCGCGCTGAAAATACCAGCTATATCTGGTTCACCATTGACTTCCATTGCGTCTACAACTTCTTGGAATTGAGGTTGTAAGTTTATGAACCACCTATCCGGATTAGCTTTATGACCCCATCTCATTGTAGTTCCATCGTCTGCAGAAACAAAAGTAGGTTTGTTTCCATCTTGGTTAGGTTCTGAATGAACTTTAAACAATGTTTCATTTCTATATGTTTTCTTGAAATTTAACCTTTTATTTTCACCGAGTTCATCCGAAGATTGAACGTTAAATGCTCGTAAGTAAAAAGGGTTGTTGTATTTGTGTACTTTTTTCAGTTCTTCCATTCTATGCTGAATATTTTCATCTGTGTTGGAGTCTTTTGTATGTCGGCAAACATTTTTCGATATTCTTCTACTATGTCAGCCGAATTTTTTTTAGACTCTTGGAAATATTCCATATTCTCCGCATACTCTTGTTGAGGGTCAAGATTTTTCGGCTGTTCCAAATCTTCATCTAGTTCTGTGAAGTTAGTTTCCAAAGGAGTGACTTGTTCGTTTCCTTCAGGCTCTTCTAGCTGTTGTTGCTGAACTATTTCTTCCATGTCTGGTTGTATCTGAACTTCTTCCTGTGGAGTTTCTTGTACCTCATCTGCTGGCATTTCATATATTCCGAGACCGTTTTAACAATTTCCCTATCTACGTCATCCGCATTCATAAGCTTTTGTTCTTTCGTTCCGTCTCTATTTTTTACGCGTTTCATGACGAAAGTTGAATTGTCATTTAGCTCTGACATCAAATATCTCGGAGTAAATTCATCCATGTCATTTGGATGATATGCTATTAAATCATATCCCTTAGCGAGCTTGTATTTTCCAGGTTTGAGATTATATCCGTTTTGGTGCTGAGCCATAAAGCTAAATAGGTTCGGGTCAGTATTTCCATCCTTGAACTTTCCAATAGCTTCTTTATATCTGTCACTAAAGTCAACAGTATCTGGGAAACCACACTCTTCTTTAAGCATTTTTAAGAATTCTTGGTTTCCTTGTTCTCTACTTCTTTTATGTCCTTGCTCTGTTTGTGGTGTTGTGCTGGTTTTGGTTGTGGTGCAGGTGCTGGATTTTGAACTGTTGGTTGCTGGCAGGGTTTTGAACTGTTGGTTTTGGTTGTTGTTGTGGTGCTGGATTTTGAACTGTTGGTTTTGTGCTGGTTGTTGTGCATGCCTGTGTCTGTGTCCATGTGACGATGTAAATGTTTTAGGTAGTCCTGGTGCAGGTGCTTCTCTTGGAGGGTTGGTGGTATATAAGTTCCACCAGCTGGCACATATGTTCCATCTGCAGCATAATGTCCTACCTGACTTTTCGTTTTTTAAGAAAGCATTTACTAGGTCTGTTTTGGTCTGTTGTAACTCTTTTTCTTGACTTTCCACAACAGTTGCTCTAACGGCGTCATAGGCACTTTGAACTGCCTGTCTCGTTGCTGCATCTTATTTTCGTCATATTTTGTGCTACTTCTTTTAACTCTTTGTCGAAACCTTCAGACTTCAGTTTCTTTCCAGATGAGAAGTCGTTCACTAGTTTCACCTTACTATGAAGAGCTTCGAAGGCGTTCTTAAAGTCAGCATTTCATTAAAGCTTCATTTGAACTGTCTTCATCCGCTTGTATTTTTGTCCTTATTGACCCTATAAGTTGGGCTGCTTTGGCGTTGGCTTGGGCATCTAACCAGTCATTGTTGGCTTTTATATATTCTGCGCTTTTCATTGCCTTTTGCATGGCTGCGTCGTTATTTTTACTTTCTTGTGCTAAGTTTTCATACTGTACGGTTTGGTTTTGCAACTGTAAAAGTTTTTCTGCCTTTACATTTGCTTCAACTTCTTTTTTATACTCATCGCTATCCATATATGTCTTCAGGGCTTTTTGTTTTATCTCTTCATCTTTCAGTACTTTATATTGAGTAGTATGGTTTTTCAAATTTATGACATCTTGTTCCATTTTTGCTACTTCTGCTGCTTTTTCTGACACTTTTTTCGCATATTCCTCTGTACTTAGTTCTTTCAGTTGTTCTTCTTTCTTCTTTTTCTCTACGTTTAACTCATTTAGTTTCTTTGTGTGTCTGTCATATTCTAGTTTCTTTTCGTTTTCACTTATTTGTTTCTGTATGTCTACGTTTGACTTTTTGACATCTGTTATTTGATTTTTGAGTGAACTCAAATTCATTTGACTTTGAGGGTTATAAGCTGTTCCGTCTGCAGCTCCACCATAGCCTGCCATTTTCGCTAAAAGTGCCGCTCTTAAACCTCCACTCTGTGCACCAATAACTCGGTTTAAAAGCATAGGGTTGCTTGACATTTGTTGCAACATAGTGGGTCATTCAGCATTTGTTGTTGCAACTGTTGTTGTGGTGTCAGTCTTACTATTGGATGTTTCAATGCTCTCTTCCTCTTACGTATATTCTTACGTGCTTACGTGGCATTTTAAGTGAAGTTAAAAAGCGTTTTTGACAGATGTTTATATGACACTTTTGTTCAGCACAAAAACTACTCGGTCAAAGTGTTGTCAGTTTTGTAAAATAACCGTCCTATCTCATTCTATAAGGGAAAGGCTTCTCAAAGTATACTTCCTTGGAACGCCTGTAACTTTTCCTGTAGCGACGATAGACCCTTACTTGTCCGGACAAAGTTATACTATTTTGAGTGCTCTACAAAAAAGTCAACGGCGACGACTCTCAAAAACCGTTGTGTAAAAAGTTTTACCGTTGGACAAAAAAGTATATATAGAAAACAAAAAACGTTTATAGTTCATTCAATATTTGAGATGGAACGGTTTGCCAACGGTAACTATTAAATAAAAAAAAAAATAGAGGGGGTTACCGTTGACGAAAACGGTTTATTTTAAACTTTTCTATGAGTAGTCCGAAAAAACAGTTTATTTTTGTCTAATGGAAGCCAACATTAACAATTCTCAACCGCTAACCAAAGCCAAAGCCCCACAACCTCCAAGAACCGGCACAGCGTTAGAATAACCACCAAAAAGTCTAACAGCGAATTAAGAGAAATTCTTCAACAAATTTGCTCTAAATATCTCAAAGACGCCGAAGAAAATACACAACCAGACGCTACATACAATACTCAGTTCTGTGAAGTTCTGAACAAAGCAATTGCTAGTTCAATTGAACTTACTAAGACAATTCCAAGTCCAATTGAGCTTAGCGATGTCTTAGTTCAGTATTTTCCAACATTTACTAAGCTTATAATGTTGAGAACTTTATACCAAGTTCGTCAAAATCTTCCTCGTAACATCCAACGGTCATTCGACAAGACAATTGCCGAATTCCAAGTCTTTAGTTACGGATATGACCCAGATGAATACGTTGACGAGTTCGGAGACAACTGTACAAAATGGTTTGAATGCTATACGACACACAATTTGAATTCGACTTTCTCGAATTCAACGCAGCAACCATTTATATCATTGCTCTTTACCTTTCCGAACAACAACAAGACCTCGCAGATGGAGATGTTGTTACTGTCGTCATGGAAACTCCTGAACAATTCGGAAAAAAAGTCTCTAATTGCCAAATTTGTTCCAGGACATCAGCTTTTCCAACGCACAGAAGTCTTCTGTATTCCTGGAACTAAGTTCTTTGTCAAGAGCGAACTCAAACAAAGATATAATGTGTCATTCATTACACATTATATAATGTTTCGACCCAGAAGAAGACTTCTTCCCAGAAGCAATGGAAGAGGAAGAAGAAGAGAAACACGAAGAAGAGAAACACGAAGAGTCCTCCGAATTCACACCAGAAGACTAACAATTTTCCGAATAAAAACCTCATTTTATACTAAACATCTTCGGGGCTAGAAGGGGCGCAGCCCCTGGAAGCCCCACTACCTTTTTTTTTTTTTTTTTTTTTTTTTTTTTTTTTTTTTTTTTTTTTTTTTTGCGTATATAAATTTAAATATGAGGCGATTATGTACGTAGTATTAAAAATAGATCTTATCGTTAAAAATTATATTCACAAGATTTATCGTTTGAATTTTTGTGCAATTATTAAAATGGCAGGCACTTCTTTGCGAATTCCTACCATTTTAATACGCAAAAAGTCTATTTGCTTTTGTTTTTGAATGGGACTATCAAAACAATTTGACAGACGCACCCAAAAGCAAAAGCAAATAGACTTTTTGCGTATAGTATTGTAAATTTCGATCTACCTTGTTTGAAGCTTGAATTTTCAGTTGGCTTCAAAATTCATTGAAGCCAACTGAAAATTCAAGCTTCAAACAAGGTAAATATCGAATGGCAGCCATATATAAATATGTAGCTGCCATTATTTTGTAAATTAATCGTATTTGTGAAATTTTGAAATTTGGTCGCCTATCTTTATTAGATAGGCGACCGCTGTAATATAATTTTATTTTTTACAGCCCTATTTGAGTTTGTTTGTAAACTCAAATAGGGCCGGAAATGGGTGGATGAGGATATTGGAGAAACCCATTCCATTTTGAGTTTTCAAAAAGTGACATAGATAATTAATAATCGTTGTTTGCCTAAAAATATATATAATGATATATGCAAATAGTGACATTTTATATATCAGCATTTGAAACAAATTTGAAAGAATAAAAAAAATGATTTAATATATAAACATAATTTGGTCTGATATCAGTGGAATAGTTCTATTTTTAGGAGAAACCTTCAGTACCAAAAGTGTCTGGCCAAATTGAGGTCTCATCTGAAATTTCATTTGCAATTTAATCCAATTTGGCCACACATCACTAGATATGTCATATCCATATCTGGATATTGTATTTCTAAGGATGTATGCCCAAATTGGTTCAATTTATAAATGTTATCAATTAAGAAATCACAATTTGGCTGAATACGATGGGGACTAAGTGTCTTTCCTAGAGATAAATCTATTCTAATCGTAATGAGCTAAGTTATAATTTTAAATTTCATTCGAATTGAAAAAATTATACTTGTAGGCTGGCTTGCTGGAATCCTCATGTATCTTTCATATATTCTTAATTTAATTGATAATACATATGTTTTTCTCTCAGTTATATGATTTTGAACCTTTAATTATGGTCAAAATAGACGGATTGAATTCAATTCAAAGTTAGAAATTATTTTAAATAGCTTTCTTGGTTAAAAAAATTCTCAATTCTCTCAAAATATTATAGGGTTGTTAAAAATATCAAAAATTAGCGTTTTGAAGACACCATGGTGTCTTATAATTTTCCCTTCCTTATTGGCGTGTAGAAATAAATGCGCCAATAGATTGAAGAAGAAGAATTGTTTTTCTCTTAATGAACTTTAATCCTTTTGATATAAGAATATTAAAAACATTAATATAATTTCGATTTCGGAAATTAAATTTCCAAATTTTTTGTCGATTTCGGAAATAACAGGATCCCGCATCCAACACGCAACAACAAAACACAAAACACACTTTTTGGTTCTTTCATCGTTTTAATCGTAATTTATGTAATATATGATTTGGATAAATTTTACAAAAATAGAACATATATTATATTCTTTTCAAAGATTCTTGCAAATCATCAAAAATAATTGTATTTTAAAAAATGATCAAATTATCCTTTCATTATTTTAAACTTAAATTAGTTTTTATGATTGACTAAAGCAATCATATTTATTCATCATTAAATAAACAAAAAAATAATATTTGAGAGTTATTTCAAAAAAAACACATTGAATTTATTAATTTGTCTCAATTTCAGTATTATAAATTTTTATAATTTCAATATTTTGAAATACACTTTTTAATATTTCAATATTTATGATATTTCAATGTATTAAGTGGTCTCAAATTGAGCTTCTCAAATATAAGTTGGCCTATTCAAATAATAAAATTAAATAATATTTAAAATAATAAATAAAAGTGATTGAGGTCATAGCAAAACGGCTGTTTCAGTCATTAATTCTTAAAAATAAAAAGGGTAAAAACTAAATACAATGGGTAAAATTCAATAGTGTCTGTGCTATCGTTCAATTTGAAGGTGTCTTTTGAAACCGCAAGACACATTGAATTTTTGAATAGTGTATTATGGTTTGACAGACACCAATGAAAAAAATAAAATGATATTTATTTTAAATATATAAGATCCTTATATAAAATATAAATATTTTATCGTTTTATTTTCTTGTTTTAGAAATGTTTTTTATTGAAAAATCAATAAAACTAACTTCAAAATAAAATTTTTGATTTAAAGACACTG